TAAAAGTATAGAAGATCATTTTATTGATTATTTTATTGGTATTAAAGTACTTTTTTTAAAAATATTATTTGTTGACAAAGTTTATCTGAGCTGCAATTTAAATCTGAAATGATATGAAGTTAAGTAAAATAAAAAATAGTAATAAACCAGTTATGAATAAGCAATATGGATAATATGATGTGACCAAAAGAAGATAAAAAATACAGCAAAATTGTACAGATCTGTCTAGGGTGTGATACAAAGTAATGTGACTTGGTGGAATGGAATTTCCTGAAGATTTTGAATTCCACGTATTTTCCCAACTCCAGACAACGCTACTGACGCCAAGATGAAAAGAAATAACTAAAGTATTATCATTTAAAGCTAAATYATTAATATTTAGACAACATTGAACAGCAAAACCCACAATCACACTAACAGCTGTTTCAAAACTCAAAACCAAAACAAATAGAATGTAATCTGAATGATCATTTGTCAAGTGAGAAAAATAAATATTTATACCTTCAGTTTCGTCTTTTTTCCTTCTAGATAGAGTTCCCATCCATCCGAAMACCCCAGCTTCTTTTTTCGAGTTATCTCGTTTGAGAGTTCCGCCAGGAGAAGAGGGAGTTGTGGGTTGGTTTGCGGGAGGATTTCTTGGACTTGACGCCATCTTGGAACTCGAAGGTCAACAGGTTAGTACTTCATGTAWGACACTATTTATATTTTACATACCTGTTTCCATATACACTTTTTTCGACATCCATACCATTACTACAGTTCCCATTTTTACCATTAGTCAAGATAGACTGTGATAGRTAAACGACTGTGTTAACTTTTTTTGCTTCTTTGTGACTTTAGTCATTCATTGATATCGAGGTCTARGGTAAAATGTTTTAACTTTTAAGAAAAGTTCCTCTAGTTACTAAAATGACCCTTCCCCTATGTCTTACATGCTTTACCYTTCATTGCTCCTTTTGCCATCAATACTTTTCTCTTAGATTTAAATGCCATTCTTTGATTAAAATTAAAAATTTCAGAGACCCAAAGTCTATTTATACTCTTCTTGCATTTATTTATTTTTCTATACACTATATCTTTTATTGCGGTGTTCGATCAGCTACGCTAAAATTTGTTTTTTCGCTACCGTCATTTAAAAAAAGTCAGTCGGTACCCTTTTATGTTCTTGACTGGCGGCAGTAAAAAAACAACTTCACAACRAGTCATTGAACTGTCTGAGTTCGCAGAATATCGATAATCGCAGTAATTGTTTTTAATCAAGGTTTCAAAGGCAATTTTTTGGTTACCTTTGTTACCTAACTACAACCCTATATGAAGAATTTTTCCGTTTTTTTTGTCACAGATTAGTTGAAAAGGATATTATTTTTATTCGACTACAATGTATTATTAATTGTATTATTAATTAACTTAAAATGGCTATTTTTTACGCTATGATTACAGAACAGTTTCAACTAGTGCTAGTCGATAATACTTCTCCTCTTATATTCACTACAATTTACTTCCAKAATTAAGTCATTCCTATCTTATTTCCTGAACTCAAATCATGCTAATGGAACTAATTTTTTTTGGACTTATTACAATAATAAAAGAGGTTCATAATTAAAGATAACGAGTCAACTACTGGAATTTAGAAACAGGCGCTGGCGATATTTCGACTAGAACCACTAGTCATCTTCAGGCGAGGTTGAGTTCTGAACTTGAGAGCTTGAGGTCTTGATGACTTACACCATTAATAATGGAAGTTCTTATTATATATAGCGCATTTTCACATGCTCTCAATGCGCATTACATTTTCTGACCATATCTGACCAGTGGAGGACTTTAAGGCGCTAGTAGCAGCCGTGCAGCTTACAATCATAATTGATTTGTTAGTACATTAGTGTTATGCCTCCAGACAGGGAGAGGCTGTTGAACCGGGAGACAATCCCATATACTCTTATACGAATAATTCAACAGCTTCTTTTATGCTCCCCATTTAATGCAGGTTAGGAAGGATTGGGAGACAGGGCCTACGGTTTGAAGTCCTTATCCGAGAAGGCTGAACCATTTACAGATGTAATTATATAGAGGCAGCTTTTAACTCTGGTTATTTTAAGACCCTGTGTGTTGGTCCGGCCGAGGCTTGAACCACGACCTTCCTTAAAACAGACCGACGCTCTACAATAATAACTACAATAATATTTAACAGCAAACTACAAGATTACATTTAACGAAATGTTGAGCATTTAAAAATCACACTGATCAACTTCTAATTTTCGATTCCATCATGGAACGAGGATCACATGCAGGTTTGTCAGCCATACTGGCTGTTAAGTAGTGATATCCTCGTAAGAAGAATACGTTTTTCAGTTTAAAATGTTGTTTCAGTTCCTTTCTCTACCTTTCAGTTCTAATCCATTTAACGAAGTGTATATCAGATTTACTTGTGTTTTTTTAGGTTCGAATTCTCTTTTTCTTTTCTTTCGGATCAGCAGATGTTGTACTGAGTTTGGCAGCAAGTCTCCTTTGCTGGAGAAGATCGTTGGCACAGTCATTTATGTGTTTGAATCTATCGTTTCCTATGGGTATCCCACCATGCCAACGCGTTACGATGACAATCACATTACTGGCATCGCTTGTTTTCAGCAAGTGCAGAAGTTTCTCTCCTCCACGATCCTCACCATCATCATCWSTATCTSMAAAGTAAGATTTCTTCTTTTCGTCGTAAATCCTGCAAGCCCACATGTTGTAAGTTGCATTAGCAATCTTTTCGTTTTGTTTTAGTTGATGCAGCACTTGGGGAACTTGCTCTAGAGATGTGACATCGGCAATATGGCCTTGGAATGTGCTCTCACGGTCTTCAATGGGAACTCCGCTTTTAATATCAAACGYAGGGATTACAGAGGGATCCTCAGTRGTCGCAGYTCCTTTGTAAAAYGACGTATATTCTGTTTCCTTGAGAAAGGTTTTCACTTTAGAATTAAGTCGAATAACCTTATGAATTAAAAGTAATYCCAAAACRCCTTTGTAGATATAAATAAGCCTATTAGGCCCCAAGTCAAGAGGAGAAGTCTTATACAGACATGCTACAATRACAATCAAATTTTGTGCGCAAGTTCCCTGTAGCAAATGCAAGACCTTAGCTCCAGAATCGTCATCCTTGTCATCATTACATCCTTCATCRAAATCATCTTTATGAGCATCAAAGATCCTGTAAGCCCAGATGTAATGCGTTGCCCCAGGAACATCAGGTGTTTCCTTAACCTTCTTCAACACTTGCTCCACCTGGTTTTCCGACGTGATGGCAGCAAAATGGGCTTGAAACTTGTTCTCCTTCTCTTCAAAAATATCCCCATCAAAAATTTCAAAATGAGAAGGTTTTTCTCCTATTGTCATTTTGGCTTCTASTTCTTGTGCCAGCACCTCTTCTTCTTTGGCTGTGTATAGATAATGTGAAATGAAATAATTATTACCTGCAGGGTACTCAGTGCATGGTTTACTTAAAACATAAAGCATGACTCCAGCGCTCTAGTGTGTGGGAGGTGGAATCCCTTCTCTCGCATTCTCAGTGGGCAGTAATGTAGAGCAGTTGGCCTTGTCTCCCTTCACTCCTCTTACCTGTATAAAGTGGACGCGTCAAAAGAGCCTGTTGCGCTGTTGCTAAGGGTTGAGGCTGCATCGATTACACACGGTACAGCAGACTGATTGTAAACTTGCCTCAATCATGCAACAAAATTAATTGCGGCGGGCGAGAGTGAAGTGTTACTGTAACACCTTACAACCTTACGCTGCAATGTGTCTCGCATCCGTCAATGATATAGCAGATTTTTTTTCAGCAGAGTGCATCATGTTTGACCAGTCTTCTGCTTTTGACGTGGCTACGCTAGTTACATGTACAGTTTCATTTTGTTAATCAAGGAAGGAAGTTGCCATATTCGATTGAGAGAGATGATTACAAATCCCATGCTTTAATTACTAATACAGTTCAATTTGGAGGATCTACGCCAAAAAAATCTAATTTTACTCTCCTGATATTCAAAATAGTCCTTATATATATGTTTTTCCCCAATTGAAATTGCTGCATGGAGGGTAGCATGGGTGGCGTACGCTGCTAACGCGTGGTCTTTCACCACCGTGTCGAACTGTGGTTTTAAAGGTTCCAGTACACCCCAGTATGTGAATTGATTGTGTTTGATGTGTTTTTCTCTCTCATGCTAAGAGGGTTCTCTGATCAAGTTCCTTCCTTCGTAAAAACCGAATCAGCATTTGAGTTGAGTATTGCGTGCCGTGATAGAATATTGAATATAGTCAGGTGGTAGTGTGTGTGGGTAAAAAAAAGTGTCCCATATTAGTGAGAAGGCGCTAAAACGACCAGGCACTTAAATAAAGAGATTTATTTCATAAACGAATTGCCCTAGTTCACTATGACGTCACATCAAAACAATCTATTGTTTAAACGCAAAGGATCATGGTCGTCGGAGGGAGTCAAATCAACGCAAATTCACCAAAAATTGTTCTAAAATCCGTATCAATCCACGAAGAGAAGTAGAATAGCCAGCAAATGCTCAGAATATTTTCAGTACATATTAACACATATTATATCTAAAAACCAGGCCATGTTAGATTAAACTGTTTCGCTAGGAGCAAATTTTGTTGTTCTATCCCCCACATAAACAAGCAGTGACGTCTTAGTGAAATAGGGCAATTATGCCATTGACTTGCCTTTTAGCTGTTCCTGTGCTTTTTTGTANCCATTGACTTGCCTTTTAGCTGTTCCTGTGCTTTTTTGTACTCTTCTTCACTAATACTGACTTCTAATTCCACATCCTCACCATCTGCTAGAAACTTGAGCTCCTCAGTTATCAGTATTCTTGCTAGCTCCTTTCTAAGTTCTCCTGTTTCGTATCTAAAACAAAAATGGTGGACTTGTCTTAATGCTATAGAGAATTTTCACGTGACGTCACAGAGGCCATTATGGGGTACCAAAAAAATACATTTTCTATCCTCAGGAAATTAAACTCTATTTTTATACAAAAACTGTGCAGAAAGTTTCTACATTGTTTGGTACATCGATATGGCTGCCTTGGCACATGAGTGAAAACGCTCTAATTTTAAACTCTTGAAATGAAATGTTCCTCAGTGATACGTATACACTGATTCGAAATTAAACTATCGTCAGCGGCGTAGCGAGGGGGTCCAACACCACCCCTCCCTCCTCAAAAAACAGTTTTGCTAAACTTGTGGATTTGACGGGAAACTCTAATTGAAACCCGTACTCATGTGTATTGGCGGGAAAATGGTACATGCCCCAATCTCGTACCCAGAGCCTGCGTTTCTTCTGGCATGCGGCGAAGAACAAGGGCTCTGACATAATCCATTTTTTGAGACCAGGATTTTTTGGACTTCCGGTATAAGAGCGCTTGCCTACAAAGACTTGCCAAAAATTAGAAAAATAATTTCCCAATTTTTAATTTTTATTTTGATCGGAAGTAAACACAGAACTCTGTTTTAAAGCTTGATTTTCATTGATTATATTTTGTTTCCGAAAAACTGCGCATGCGCCAAAAATGGATTATGCCAGAGCCCTCGTTCTTCGTCGCAGGCCAGAAGAAATGCAGGCTCTGGGTACGAGATTGGACATGTCACGGCTCCCTATGACCAAAACATTGCTACGCAGTGGCGGATCCAGGATTTTTCAAAGGGGGGTTCCGTTTCTTAAACTGTGTATAATTCTCTTTTGTTTAGTCGATGTTTGACAAACAAATTGGCTCTAATCACCTAATTTACTATCTAGTAACGGAACTTAAAGGTAAATTAAACATTATAACAGCAAATATTTATCATTTCGTGTTCAACATTATCCTTGTGGATACTTTTAAGCTAAATTTATATAAGACATATTTCTATTACCTAAAAGATCAAACCTTCAAGGGGGGTTCCGTGGAACCCTTCGAACCCCCCTGGATCCGCCACTGCTACGCTAGTGACTATTATCGTATTAAAAAAAACGAATTTCATTTACATCCAATCTTATTATCAGACTTGTATAACATTTGTATTATAGGCAGGTCAAAAACCTGTAATTTTTAATGTGTATAAAAGCCAGAGAGTTGGTCCGAGAAGGAAAAATCATTGCGTGTGTAAAATCCAAGCTGCTAATTCTTGCACAACGACAAAGAGATGACAAAATCTGCAATATTTCGACTTTATTACAGCTTGTAAGTCCTGTTGAAACAATACTTCAACCTGTCGGATGTCTCTGGTTTTTAGATACTGTATCTGAATATAAATTATGGTGTCTTGACAGATTGGTACAATGATTTCTTTATACCCATAAAGCATTTAGTCTTGGCTCATTTGCATCAAAAAGTCGAGAATATGAGGGGGGGGGGGGGGGGGGGTTAGTCTATTGCTTATATAGTTACCTTTTCCATAACTTCTCTAGCGCACCTAACTCTTTCACCCAGAGCACAAGTTTAATTGATCCTGGTCTCATATCAACCAACTCCGCACCACTTTGGACTAAGTAACCCATTAGTTCTTGAATTTGTACATGTGTAAAGATCCATGAATCTCCTGTTGCTTCGCATTTTAACATTATTTCTGAAAACAATATTTTTAAAATCAGTATTATTACCTAGCTATTATTCGCCGGAGGCGAAGTAGTCTCCTCAGCAGCCGTTCTTGATTAGTGTCGGTCCGGTAAACGCGTTTACCGGACCGACACTACATGTAAGAACGGCTGCTGAGGAGACTAAACGCGAAGTGGAAATCGGGGAATATTTACCGAGTCGCTTGGCGACACACCGTCTAGGACATAATTACGTATGCGAAAATCTGAACTCAGATTTGACGGACTGCTGGTAATATTGGAGTTGAAAATGGATTTTCTCGATGATTATGAAATTATGGCATAAACGTTTTGCTCAAAATGTACATTTTGAATTGTAGATTAGTAGCTCTATCACTGCCTTTCGAAACTTACTAGACGTTTTCCCACTCCTCCCTCATCCATTCCACATAGATATTACTTATCATGGTTACTTTTGTAGGGTAATCGAGGGGCAAGGCCCACTATTTTTACCTATCATTCAGGGGGGTGCCTGGTGGGGTTACCTACCTGAATATNAAAAACAGTTTTGCTAAACTTGTGGATATAACGGGAAACTCTAAAGATGAAACCCGTACGCATGTGTATTGGCGGGAAAATGGTACGTGCCCTAATCTCATACCCAGAGCCTGCGTTTCTTCTGGCCCGCGGCGAAAAACGAGGGCTCTGACATAATCAATTTTTTGAGACCAGGATTTCTTGGACTTCCGGTATAAGAGCGCATGCTTCCAAAGACTTGCCAAAAATTAGAAAGTAATCCATTAGCTCTTGCAATTGTTGATTGGCTAATTTCAGGGGTGGGGGTGGGGGTAAGTCTATTGCTTATATAGCTACCTTTTCCAGAACTTCTCTAGCGCACCTAACTCTTTCACCCAGAGCACGAGTTTAATTGATCCTTCTCTTACATCAACCAACTCCATATCAATTTGGACCAAGTAATCCATTAGTTTTTGCAATTGTTCCGCATTGGTTACTTTCAATTTAACTTTACTTGAAGCTCCTGTTGACACATTCCTTACTTTGCATGTTATCAATAGTTCTGAAAATAATATTCTTAAAATCAGTATTATTATTTAACTATTATTCGCCGGAGGTGAAGTAGTCTCCTCAGCAGCCGTTTACCGGACCGGGTGCTGAGGAGACTAGACGCGAAGTGGAAATCGGGGAATATTTACAGAGTCGCTTGGCGGCACACCGTCTAGGACAAAATGACGTATGCGAAAATCCGAAATCAGGTTTGACGGACTGCTGGTAATTGGAGTTGAAAATGGATTACGTTTTGCTCAAAATGTACATTTTGAATTGTACATTAGTAGCTCTATCCTGATTGCACCGTTCGAAACTTACCAGCCGTTTTCACACTCCTCCCTAATTAAATCCATTCCTCTCCGCTGAAATTCCATTGATATAACTTATCATGGTTACTTTTGTACGGTAATCGGGAGCATGGCCAGTACCCCTGTGGGCTCTACGACCCTAAAAGACAATTTTTACCTATCATTCAGGGGGGTGCCTGGTGGGGTTACCTACCTGAATATTCCAAGCTGTCCCTAAGGCGGTCGATATCGACGGCGCTAAGAG